CACCATTAATACACAAAAAGTCAGAATTAAATTAAATCTGTCACAATAACAGTTTCCAAAAGATTAAAATTAGTTTTTTGTTAAATATATCTTTGCAATTAAGCCAGGGCTAATATTCCGGTGTTACAAATGTGGGTTATACTCTAAAATTACTGCTAAAATTCTGTCTATAGAGCCGGCAGTATGAGTCTGCATATCAACAATAGAAAAAGTAAAGCCATATATATCCTAATAAAAGCACAAAATTAAATCAAATGTTTTAAATAATGCAAACAAATTGTAAGAAAACAACATCAACAACACTCTTATTTTACTGTGGTTCTACTTTACAGTGTTGTAGTCAGCCTTTCAATGTGCAAGGAAGAGAGAGAGAGAGAGAAAAAAAGAGAGAGAGAGAGAGAGATAGCTTGCAGCCCGGTGACTGAGATGCATGGCGACAGTTGACCTATAAGGGGCTGACTCACCCCCACGTTCACTTCACCACTAATATATTCACTTAGTCAGGCTCAGGGGATGTGCAGTATTGCAACAACAACAAACTGAAGCGGAAGAACAGGCAAGTGCACACACAGCATGACGTCTGAAACACATCGACAGCAGAATTTAAAAACAAGAAATACGACGTTCATTTCAGGAAACTCTCCTAATGGTAAACCTAAAAAAAAGAAATGGACCCACGCTCATGTTCACATTCTGAGGGGGCAGATTTGAACCAACATCTATCAGGGATACAGGCCTGAGCTTCTCTGGTCAAGTGGCCGTTCTTCTTTGGCGCAAAAAGAACGAGTAATCCAGTGGAAAAAGAAAGAGACTAAAAGAGGCATCAGATCACAAGAAAGAGGAAGAAAAGAGCAAGCAGAGGGACAGAAAAAGATACACAGACGGAGGCAGGAGTCTTATCAGTGCTAGATTAGTGCATATGATAAGGCCTCGAGGCAAGGCGTTACATTTAGCCTGCTTGAGGCTTCCTGTCATCATCATTAAGGCCGCGTCTTCAACGGCCACCGCAGAAAACAGAGCAGCCATTCTGAAAGAGGCCGAGTGAGGAGGAAGAGATAAAGAAAGACAGGACTGTGTGGTCAAAGACAACATGATGGCTATATTAGGTCTAACGAGACACTGCTGTTTAATTACATGAAGCCCTAACCTAACGTATCATTACATCTGCCACTTTTATTTTCCGCGACAAACACAGTAGAAGTAAAAACACTTTCCTTTGACCGTGGACTGTTTGAACGTGATGAAGACAAACGAGGAAGAAGCGCAGCACTAAGATTTTCCACTTCAGCTGAAATTGCCAAATGCACCCTCCTTCGTATGGAGCCAACCAATCAAGGCGCAGACCTCTGAGTGAAGACCCTGAAATTTGCCCCACAGTGGTGGACATATCATGTGCATCCAGCACTTACAGACAGAAAGGTAAAAAAAAAAAAAAAACGAAACAAAAACCACACACAAACGACTAATGAAGCAGCGGATAGCCTTACAGATGAGGGAGGGAGGGTTGTCTGCTAAATCTAACTGGCTGACTGGTTGACAGTAACAGTCTGTGACACTTTCCTGCCGCAGGAGTTGTGGGTGCTAGTGCATTGTGACAGAGTGCAACCTTTAAAGGCCAACGACTGATGCACAACAGCACCCAGACCTAGTGACTCAGCCCACGTCGGCCTCCTCTCCTCGTCTGTGGTGTTCACAACTCACAGTGGTCATGATTGCGCGCCGATACGCACACAGACGTAGACACTTGTGCTGTGTATACACAAACGCACACACTTTCCATCCGCTGCTCTAGTGGAGGCAGTAAAAGCAGCAGATTTGCCGTTCAGACAAACGTAAATCTAAAGTAGTCAACGTTACACAGAGACGCTGATATTTCTCCTTGTGCTTTATGGTCAATTACAAAACAGCTGCAGATGAGTGTGGCCCTCACAGGCACTGGCAGAAGCTGTGGGCATGAATGCAGCCCACACTGAAAAGAAGATGCTTTACTGCCACCCAATGGCCGAATCTTGCCATTGATATAATTCAAAAGGACTTAATATGACAAACAGTGATGCATTCTGGTTTGTTGATTTATTACATGTGCTATAGGTTGACATATTACAAAAATGGTGCAATAAACAATCAATAAAATACATTATGTGGAAAAACAATTTCAGTGTGTGTGTGTGTGTGTGTGTGTGTGTGTGTGTACCTCTCGTAAATGGTCTTCAGTGAGACCTGGTCAGACACGCCGTCAGTCTCTTCCAGAAAGAGGATGATCCAGGATGTCCGATACGGCCACTCCTCTGTCAGGTTGATCCAGGATGCCAGTCGATCCCAGTTGAAGATGATCTGATTGGCTCGCAACAGACGACCTGTCGGAATGAAGATAAATCGATTGAAATGTATTGATCCCACACTGTGGAAATTGGGAGGTTGTGTTGCAGCAACACAAAGAACAGAGGCAAACACTGTAAAATAGAAAGACTGTACAATAAAGAAATAGAACAGTAGGTGGCAGTATGCGCCTAATATAAATGTAAATATAAATATTTATGTATATTATATTTATATATTTGTTTGTACTATTATACTATTTACATTATGTTTTTGTTCTAATGCATATTTTATGTTTTTTATGTTTTATTAGTATACATTGAATTTTATTTTTAATTAAGTGCACCACAATGCTGATTTTATAAACTTGTCACAAGAATATAAACAAGTTTTACTTTCAGTTTTTTTAAGCTCAAGTTCAACATAAAGTTTTAAGAAAAATATCTTTTGGGGGAATAAATGCAATTTGTTTGAAGACTCTTCAAAAAAAATCATGATTTCAATACCGACCAAAACAATTGTGATAACGATTTTTTTTATAAATAAATGCAATTTGTTTGAAGACTCTTGTTAAAAAAAATCATGATTTCAATACTGACCAAAACAACTGTGATAACGATTGTTTTATATATATAATAAAAGCAACCCTAGTGAAAAGTTTTTTTCTTCTTTTTTTTACCTGTGATAGAAACAATGTTGAGCAACCTCCTCATTGTCTGAGGACTGATGTCACTGAACCAGTCTTCAGTGACCAGCAGCTTAGTGAGGTCAAATGACATCTGCCTGGTGATGGTCCTCTGCATCTGGCGACGTCGGTATGTGTCCTTGACGAGCGATAGGTGTAAAATGACAAAAAGAAAATTAGCATTAGATCATACATACATACATACATACACACACACACACACACACACACACACACACATATATATATATGTATATATATATATATAGTCGGTGAAGCAAGAACATCTGTGATATCATCAGAGAGTCACTTTAGTCGGTCTCATGACTGCATTCACAGAGAGATGAAACATGTGACCACCATTCATTTCCACCTGAAAAAGTCTATCGTCATATTGTCAAACTATCAGCTACAAAAGTATTGATTAGTATTAGTTTTTAACTGATTACCTTCTACTTTTTCTAACTGGCTCAGTAATCTGTTATTGTCTAATCATATTTGTGTGCAGCAGGAGGAAACAGGAGGGCTTTGTTTTTGGTTGATATTTGTTTTCCTTATCAAGATGATTTGTGTTCCTTCAACAAGCGGATGGAGAAGACACTCAGGATGTCATCTGTAACTGGAGAAGCCACATGAAAATTTGAGAGCCGCTAATTGATTTTCCCCTCCTGCCCTGGTTTTAATCTCCACTTGTAGAGAGTGGACCCTTCTGCCAAGAGTGAGCTGGTGGCAGAGGGCAAATAAACAGAGAACACTGTCTTGTACTAAAGGGGCCAACACCAATAAGGGCCTGTATTAGATAAACCCAAGGTACAAACGTGAATGTCGGACGAAACAAACAGACAAACAAGAGAAGGGGGGCTGGAAGCAAAGGGGGAGTAGTAGGAGGGTCCCATAGGGAGGGAGGGGATCATCAGTGACAGAAGTGGAGTCACTTAGCCTCCTGCCAGCAGACCTGGTGCCAGTGTTTTGTCACAGGGACCCACTGCTGCTTGGCCTTGTCATTAGGCTGTGGCAACACAGCAGGAAGGATAAACAGCCATTACATCAATTACATCAGGAACCTTGGCCGCACACCGAGCACCTCTTTCTCTTTTCATCTCTCTGTGTCTCTTTCTGTCCCCCGGACTCTCCGATGCCTGCCAACTACGCCCATGTACTGAACAACCCCTCCAGGAAGGGGGCTATAAAGTAAGCGCTGTGCTGTTCTGCTAAATCAGTAATTCTCGCCCTAACCCAATATTTTCCATTTAGGTTGTGATGAACTACCAGCATTTTAATTTGGTGTGATTAACAGGAGGACATTAGAAACAGGTGAGGTGGAAAACCAACGGGGAAATGGACCCTTCTCTATGTTGACTCTCAGTGACTCAATTCACTGTTATTCCTTTAAATGAGGGATTTATTTGGTCATTATTTTTGCCTCCTTCAACTGATTCAGCTTTAATCAACATCTGAGCAGGGAAGGACTTTTCAAATTTCAATTTCACCCAAACATTTGCAATGTACATTTCGTCTTCCTCGTCTTGCTCTTCTCAATTAAATTTCTTGAAAGTATTTAAAATTACATTAAGTCAATAAACTTGACTTAAAAGGTCGTTACCCTGCGGTTGAGTGCGTTCTTGCTGCCGAACTTCGGCTGGTCTTGGCCCAGGTTGTTCTGGGACCACTTCCGATCCGCCTCTTCATGCCATCCTGGACAAAGGAGAGACGGATAAATGAATGAATTAGTTTTTTTTATTTTTCAAAATATGTAAGCATCTACTACAACTACTATAGCATATTAAGCTAGTCAAAAAAAAGATTTATTTTTCCAAGTAGTTTATGAAGTTAAAATATGTCATATTTCTTAAGCACAAATAAATCTGTCCACTTAAATCTTAGCTCTGGAGGAGAGTGGGGGGTATGAGCACTTAAATCTTAGCTCTGGAGGAGAGTAGGGGGTATGAGACGGTACCTTTTGATTTAAACATGCTCAAAATATCATCACAAGTACATTGTAACATAGGTCAGTTTTCTACAAGACATTACTATGTAGAAGGGCTGTGAAGATGGTGCTGCATTGATCCAACTGTGTGCCTCTGGCTCTACAGCCCATAACATCAACCCTTACTGTAGTAGTAGTGGTAGTTGTTGTTGTTGTTGTAGTAGTGGTTCTCTTAAAGAATACCAGGGTGGTACAGGTCTGTCACAGTTAGTAAAACGTGTGTTTGTGAAACTAACTTCACTCTGATTGGCTGAAGTAACAATCAGCCAGAGCAAAGAAACCTGGTCTACATTTGACCAAAGGTTCTGTTCCGTTACCTTCAACAGGCTGAGCCTCTCCATTGGTGGGAGCTGCCGTACAAAGCTTTTTGGCTGTGATGAGGCTCCTGCTGTTGAGGAACACCGGCAGATGGACAATATTCCTCATGTAGTCATGGCCGTTGATGTTGGAGTCCCTCAGCACACTGTTGAGGTTTTGGTTGATGGCTTTAATGATGATATGTGGGTCGCTGGCAAAGATGGAGATGAATGGGCCTTTGGAGAAGAGAACCCTCACCTACGACCAGAACCAAAAGTTAGTGTGGGAGCTCTGAGGAACCGTGGTCTCAGCTGTGATACATAAAGGAATCAAGTGAAGGCTGACGGTGACCACAGCACAATGTTTTTGGGGGGATTTCCACTCTGCTAAGCAAGGGATAGCGTCCAAGTGTCACAGGACATCACTTTTTGCAACATGCAGACATGGTTTGTTAAACTTTGGCCAGCGCTCTCTGGCTCTTCCCACAGGATAATAAACCTCTGTCTCCACAGCAGCTGTCAGCACTGACAACTAAGGGGCCGTCACATGATGTCTGCAGAAAATATAGATGATTCGATTTTGTGATTTGTGTGACCTGATTTACTGAGGGTGTGTGAACTTGATTTCTTCACAGAAGATGGTTTCAGAGAGAAGGCGCGTGCAAAGATGAGAATATTGCATTAGCATGCAGGAGGCCTGCATCCCTTCTGGGATTACTTCACAAAATAACAACATTTGGCTAAAGGAAATTCTATTACGGCAGCTGGGAGGAAGAAACTAAATGGAGGAGGTGAGCATCGGCAGCCAGAAACTCCAGAGTGACTACACTACAGATGTGTGCACAGGTGAAAAGTCCCATTCAGATCAGGTCCAGACTGCACTACTTTATTCTAGTCTCTTTTATGGGAATGCATTTTGATAGAGCGAGAAGAGGCTTAAAATATTTCTAATATTGATAATAAAAAAACACACACACCGTGTCCAGCATTTGCAGGACTTTGTCCTGTTCACAGGCATCAAGGCCGTCGATGATGACAGCCATACGTGTCTGGTTCTGGGTGAAACCATCAATAGTTTTAGCCATTTTTGACATGAGTTCCACCTCATGTTTTAACACCTAGTGAGGCACAAAGAGAAAAATGAGTTCCACCTCATGTTTTAACACCTAATGAGGCACAAAGAGAAAAAAAAGAAAGTAAAGACATTTTTAATATTTGTTTAAAGTATAAAGCTGACTGGAAAAGAAAATGCAACATCATAAAACTGCAGACAAAAAATACTACCTAAGCAATAACAAATCAAATTAGACACGTTTACAGCCAGGCTTGATAAGTTCCATTAATCACCTTCATGAATCCTTCACTCTTGAGCTTGTGCATGTTGTTAGCTGCACTGTGCAGGCGTTTCCTCTGGGAGTTGAGGACAGAGTCAGCTACCTGCCACCAGGTCTTGCAGTTCAGCAGTAAAGCCAGACCCACGACGCTGGCCATTGCTATCAGCACCGCATTTACAGTCAGGTTTTCTGGATTGACCTGGAGAAATGAAAAGGATCTGAATTTCTTCACCTGAACCAAAGAACTCTCCTTGTATTTTGAATATTGATTCAGAGTCTAAAGTAAATAGAAGAAACCCACCTTAAAGATGGCCAACAGGGCCATTCCAGTTATCAAGCAAACTAATGTGATGGCAAACAGCACAAAGGATGGAACACAGCATGTTTTCTTCCATTTTTTTCCTGACGTAAAAGAAGGGGAGAGGAAGAAAAACACTTTAACATCAGGATCCATTTGTTTATATTACATAAAAGTTTGTACTAGTTTTTTTTGACTTTAACATCAGGATCCATTTGTTTATTCTACATAAAAGTTTGCACTAGAGTTTTTAGTTTTTTGATATACAGCAACATTTCTAAATAGACATTTTATTACATTTAAAATGTACCTTTTGTTTTTAGATTTTGCAATGGTGTTTACAAAAACTCCCACATGCACAAGTAATACACATTAATACACATACTAAAACTATTTTAGTTTATGCTCAGATAAGAGATTATTTCGATTTTTTAGATATTTTTTAGGTGAAAGATTCTATCCCGACTTCAAAACCGAACACATTGATGTCACCTTGAGTTTCATCGTTCTTGAAAACCCTGAAGAGCCTGGTGGCCATGAAGCCAAACTCCCTCTCACAGGCATCTGAGAGTGTAGCGATCATCTCAGCCATTGACGTCTCCCCACCGACGCTGGACAAGCGATTGTAGTCCGTGAATAAAAACCTGTGTGGCAAAGGGAAACGGGTAAATGGTTGGAGTCTTGGTTATAGAAAATGAAATCACCCCCAGAGCAGTATTTGACAGATAGTCTTGGTTATAGAAAATGAAATCACCCAGAGCAGTATTTGACAAAAACTCTAGTAATACTAATTTTGTTAAACAGTCCATGAGAAACGTGATAGGTCATTTCTGTATCTGTCATCGTCACCTAACAGGAAGAGCACGGGTCGTCTGCTCAGGGAGTTCAGGTGGGTTCACAAACATCAGCTTGAAGAGAAGCTCCAGGTAGCCAAGTTGGCGGGCCAGTCGGGTGCTGATGACCCAAGCCCAGTTCCAGCTTTCCCTCTCACGTCGACTTCCAAAGTACACCAGCACTGGATGTAGTGAGATCAAATAACAATCACATCAACAAATAAGAATTCACTAAATGTTGTCAGTCACACTGTACGGTGTTTGACTATTATTTAATGATTCAGTCCGGTTGTTACAGCTAACTTACAGCTCAACTGACAGTGTAATGGCACCCTCTAGTGGGTAAAGTGGTTTTATGACAGTCATAAAAGAATGTTTTTCTTTAGGCCAGAATATATAATCTCTCAGTATTACCACATAATTGGTAGCACTTAGCCTATCACTGGGCTATTTTCTTAATGTTATATTTGTACATGTAAAAGGTTCAAAATATATATATTCAAAATGGTTCTCACCCAGCCAAGTCAAAAACCTTATTACCATATAATTATTACTAATTTATTTAATATTAGATCTCATCTTCACTGTTCTCACCAAAGAAGATGTAAAGCAGGGCGAGGAAACTGAGGGACACAGCGATTGCGAGCCGGTGATCGACAGTGAAACCCAGGACAAGAGCCACTGAGCCACAGAGCAGTAAAGTGAGGACCACCACCAGCCATGAGAACTGGAACAAGGGCTCTATCTGCTGGCCAGCAAAGGTCTTCATCTCATCTGATTAAAGGAAAAATCACCAAAATTAAAAAAACTGTTAAAAGCTACAGGAAATGCATTATTATTATATTTTGCTGGTATAAAACCATTTCCAAAATAGTTTTTTTTCATACCCTCTAATTTCTTGAGAAGGAAAGATTTGCCGCTTCCCCACTGGGCGTACAATCCCACACAGATAGGTGGCTGCATGGTGGGCTCACTTAGAATGTCTGCTAAAGCACTGCTGTAAAGGTCATAGCCCAACATGTCTCCATCAGACTCTGTTGGGGAGAGGTGTTCTGAAAGGGAAGGAGTGGAAAAGGTTGAGAAGAAACAGAAACGTTAATTAAATGTACCTGGTTTTTTTGCAGAGCTGTTCTTCTGTCACATCAAGTACATACTCGCTCCAAATATCTGTGTGAGGATGCTTTTCTGATGGCTGCAGTCGATGTTGTACGGTGTCTCTCCAGCTTTGTTCGGGCGGTAAAGCAGGCGTCCGTCTTTGGGGTTCCTCAGAAGCAGCTCGGCCAACTTTCTGCTGCGTCCCCTGATGGCGATATGGAGGGGCGTGTCACCTTTCTGAGGACAAAAAACAGAACCCGGAGAGATTAATGTCTGTTCTTTGCATTTAATCATAAAATGAAAAAAAAGGTTGAACAACCTTAAAATAAACAGTTGTTCAGACTGGTAATTTTCATTTTACACCATAGATTGACTGATGACATTACACATCACATTACCTTGTCAATAGCAGACACTTTGGCTCCTTTGTCCAGCAGCAGTTCCACTATTTCTATGTTCCTCATTTTCGTGGCTTTAATAAGTGGGGTTTCCCCCTCCTAAACCAGACAATTCAAAGATTATGAGCAGATCATACAGCTAAAAAGAGCAGTATGTTAGAATCCAAGACAAATTTATAGTTTTCTTTAACTAAAAGCAATTAATTCACTGTAAAATCTGTTCACAAAAGAAACATGAAACACATTTTGTTTGTTTTTCTTACCTTTGTGCAGCTCTCTGTGTCTGGATTACACTGCAGGATATCTCTCACCATGGTGGCGTTGCCTTTTTCTACAGCCCAGTAGAGGGCAGTCTTTCCATCCTGACGTTGAAAGAACAAAGCAAACGAGTTAACAAGTTAATTTGCAACATGAACACCTTTAAGCTTGTAAATATTCCTATATTAGTTTAATTTGTCTTCATATATTTTATCAGACTATAGCTCTATAGACTGTAGTCCTTGTAAAGGATTGTGGCAGTTTCCCATTTAAAACAAAAAAAAATGAAAGAGTGCAGCAGTGATAGTGGAGGAGAACTCCTACCTGACCCCTGACGTCAATGTCAGCGTATTTGTTCATCAGGGCCCGGACAATCTCAACGTGACCTCCTCGCACTGCTCCAATCAGCACCGTCTCTCCGCTCTGGAGGAGGTGGCGAAGGATAAACAGAGATGGACGTGAAGCACATTTCATTTACACTTGAAAGAAAGAGCAGCAGGCAAAATTACAGTAACCAGGTCTCACCCTGTCTGGGATGTTGACGTAGGTCCCTGCGTCCAGAAGGTCCTGGACAATCTCTGTGTGTCCCTCCTTGGCTGCAATCGCCAGGGCCGTGTTTCCGTCCTTGTCCGTCATGTTGACATTTGGGTTCCTCTTCAGCAGCTCTTTGACAACTTCTGTGAAGCCTCCTTTCACAGCCACGATCAGAGCGGTCATTGAATTCTTGAGGAAAAAAAAAAAGGAGTCAGTCAATCGTTTCAATCACGAATTAGGTGTAATGAGTTTCATAATTCTCTGTAGAGAAGCCAGAAGCATTTAGCCCAGTAAGAATATGATGGAGTACTCAGAACAAAAGGACCAGGTTAGTTTTTATGTGTATTATTTTGTCAGATTAAAGAAGAAGCTGACACTTGAGAGCAAAGACATGTGACAGAACCAGTTAGAATATTAAGGACCTGTTGAAGAGGACACAACTCCTTGTGCACGTGTGCAGCTGCTCTTAGAGAGACATGCGACAATGTTGATGACATCCCATTTAGTGAGGATAATTAATGAAAACCCAATATTTCATGGTGTTTTTCAGGCACCGGAGCCTCTTAATCACATATGAATTAATTGCTCTGCAGCATTAGCCGCTGCAGCTTCATCTGATTATTGATGCGACACATCAAACTGTTACATCGTTCACTTTTGTGCCGGAGCAGATGCAGCGTGACTCTGAAGAGAACAGATGTGCTGCATTAAAGGTGCAATCACTTATTTAATATCGCTGTTAACTGACACATGTGCAGTGCTTCACTGAGTTAAATCAGGAAAAAGAAAAAAATAGTTTCATAAAACCAATTCTGTTTCCAGGCTTGTGTCATTAATAAAAGTCTAGGCCTAAATTGACAGTTGTAAACACAGTTTAAAAAAATCCTTGGCATTAAACCGACAACATTCCTTTTTTATTTTTTCATAAAAAAAGTAATTTATTTTTTATTATTATACTTATTTATTTATTCATTTTACTTACTGCTCCCTCCTGGTCAACGTCAGCTCCGTTTGCCAGAAGATGTATGACACTCTCATAGTGGCCCTTCCTGGACGCCCAGATCAGTGGTGTGGTACCATACTGTAAACCAAGGAAAAATATGATCAAGTACAAGAGACACACAGGACAGGAGATGACATGGTTACAACAACCCTGGGGAGTGAAGAACACATTGAAAGGTAAACATGTAAATATTTAATTCGCACCACTCAGGATTGTGATTAAAAAGGTAGTGATTGATACATTTCAGAGTTCACTGGTACCTTGTCTGAGCAGTTGACCTTTGCACCGTGCTGCAGCAGGAGATTGACGATCTCTGCATGACCCCGACCTGCGGCCCAGATGATGGGGTAGACACTGTACTGTAGGTGGTGAGAACACGAGTGGAGTCAACGCATGCCATAAAAGCATACGACCCAATAAAGAAAATAAATGATTTCTTCTTGTCACCAAGTGGTCTGAGTTTCATCCAGGAACAAGGTTACTGTAGTCTACATGCCACTGAGTTCTTGGGTTAAAGGCTAAACATTTAGTTGGTTTTGAAGTAGCACTGTCAAAAACTGTGGTATAGACAGTTGCTGTTAAAATATATTTGTGAATAAGTTTGGCTAAGTGGCTCATAAGATTTTTTTAAAAAGTACTTTAAGCAATCAGTTTTTAATCTGTTTAATCGCAGTGTAGCTTTGATTAATCCAGATTTAATCATGATTAATCAGAATTAATTGAGATAAACAAACATCCTAAATATAACAAAAAAGATGTTATACTGGACCAGTCAGACATAGAAAGAAAATAAGTATATAATATACTGTATATATCAGTATCAGTATAGTCTGAGTAAGGCCTCAGAAATTACACCAAGAAAATTACAAGGAATAAAATACTTCACATTTAAAAAATCCACCTCTATTATCAAACTGTATGTATACATTTGAGTGTGGGGACAAAAGTAGAACAGTAATATGTATCATGGTAGAAAGAATACTGCGTGTGCAGTTACAGTACCTGACCAGTGATGTTGGGATTAGCGCCTTTATCCAAGAGCAACTGGGCCACATCGGTACAACCCTTATAGGCTGCCCACATTATAGCCGTCCAACCTCCCTGTGCACAAACACATCCACAATAAAGATAATCTCCTGACTACAACTATTTGCAAAGACATATTTACTATGTACTATGATACAATATGTATTGGGTTTTTGAGAATATATCATGCAGTAAAGTTAAAGTTTGCAGCTCATGTTGTAGGAAAATGTGCTTTTTTAAACTGCTGTGACACACACTTGAGTGGGTGAAATGTTTCCACTCAACTCAATGGTTTATCATAATCCCAAAAGTGATTCGTGCTGTAAAGCTTAAACACACTCATCATGGCAGTGAGTCACTTGGTGTCCTGAGTCACTGCCACAACCATAACATTTCATCTCAACCTGGCTCAAAGTCATACATCCTGCCTGTGTGTAACCTTTTAGTCTCCATATAATTTTAATGCACCTTTTTATGGCTAAAACGTATTAGAAAGACATTTGTGAGTTGATAAGACAGAACAGTACATATGAGCTCTGTAATAACACACCTACATCATATGTGACAAGAGGCTATTAAATGTGTGGAGGGTTAAGTATTTCTTTCCCCACAGTTCATGAATATATACAGGGCAGCTAAAAAAGCCAGACGAAATATAACTGTGACCGGCCCGCGTCCAGGACTGAATCACATGACTGCGTTAATGCCCAGACAACCAGGGCTCAGTAAATAAAATTAGTAACAGAGAGGATACATCACATCGGACGTAATTTCATTTTATGTCCGTTTCAAGGGTAATGGGTTGTGCCATCCAGCCAGTGGTGTAGTTTTTTACAGCCAACAGACAGCATTAATGAACGTAAAATCAAGGCCTTGTTATCTCATGATATATGTCACAGTGGACTGATAACAGCTTCACTGGTGAGGGTCAACCTACTATGATCACACTGTAAATCACACTGACCACTGATGTTGGCTTGGAGACCAACGTTTCTTTTTTATTTTAATTTAATTTAAAGGCTATTCAGAGAACAACATTTCTGTAGCTCAGGGACGTCAAACATACGGCCCCCGGGCCAAATCAGGCTCACTAGGGTGTTCAATGCGGCCAGCTTGATCAATTTTCAAACACTTCACTTAACATTTAATAATAATAATAATACATACATATACTTGAACTTATTTGCATTAAAATAAAGGGAAAAAAATTGACTTATTGTTATTTATAGTTAATTATGTACTGAATGTACTGGTCTGGCCCACTTGGCGAGGTTGTATGTGGCCCCTGAACCAAAATGAGTTTGACAGTCCTGCTGTAGCTAAACACACATTACGATCTATTTGCTTGCACTACGGCCAAATTCTTCTAAAATTTCTATCTATTTCTACCTCATTCTATCTTAATTATTTATAAAAAAAAATGTTTCAACAGTCGTTTACTTTTTTCAAAGTTAAAACTACTTAGCTGAAAATTACTAAAATGTAACTGTTAAAGGCATTTTTACTAACAGGCACTTCTGATACTGACTTTAAATCCCTTTCCTTTCTTCATCAGTATGAAATGTCACTGTTCCTCTCTGTTCTCACCATGTCTCGATGCTCCAGGTTGGCATTGTTCTCCAGCAGTTCCCTCACCACCTGGATGTGACCCTCCTTGGCTGCTGAGATCAATGCGGTCCAGCAATCCTGCACACACAGACAGGTGTTTACTCTGGTGTTTACCCAAAAATCCAATTCAAAGCTCTTCACGGAACTTCCCGGAAAGAGCAATAACACATGACCTACCAGCTGATCGTACCAGATGCTCATGGAAGCAAAATGGACTAACAAGGAAAAAAAAAAAAAGTGTAACGTTTCTTCCTGTTCGTCTGCGTTAGAGCGAGAATGAGCGCAGGTCTGAGAGAGCCGTGTGTAATAGCGGGTTACATGTCCGTGAGATGTTAATGAGCGGTGTGTGAGCATGCGTGAGTTCGCCCGGACAACAGAGAGCATGAACGCGTCCGTGTGTGGGTGCATGTGTGTGTTTGGGTGAAGGTTGCCCTCTGGAGACTCAGGGTGTTGGCCAGTCACTGGATCCTGTCATTTAGTCACAGCAGCAGAGGTTAAACTGTGTAATAAGTTGTCATTATGGCTCATAATAGCTGTGAACTAATCCGCCGTGTGGTGAGTTCAGCAAGATGGAACATCACGGACGTCTTCGCCCTCTGAGGAGGGCGATGTGGTTAAAGTGACCACAGTGTTTTTCACCTGTGCCTCACCGTCTCAGCAAAGCCCCGTGTCACTGAGTGAGACGTTAATCTGCGAGTGTGTTCATATTAGGCCTGTTACGATGGACTGTGTGAGAATACACATGCTTACAACATCATCCAAGTTAACGTTGGCTCCTCTCCTAATTAGCTCTTGTACTATTTCCAGATTCCCCTGCTCAGCAGCCACCATCAGGGGAGTTTGTCCATTCTAGACAGGGGAGAGAGAGAGAGGGAGACAGAGAGAGGGAGGGAGAGAGAGAAAACAAACTGTGATAAAGATTTAAACAAGCAAATTAAACACACTGTTGTCTCCATAACCCACTGAGAATTTACAGAAAGAACAGACAGGCTGTCGTAATGTTGGATAATTGAACTCTAATCCTGTCAGCCAAAAGAAATGGCAAGCAGAGCATCTCTAATTCAATAATGGTGTACTCTTCTGCTGCATGAAACTACATCATTCAGCAGGTCTGCAGTACTAAACTGTCCACAGCACAGGATTCTTATAATGCAATAAAACTATTAAGGCCATTACAACACACACACACACATCTTTACAATTTACTGTAATTCTTGGGGATTTACTTTCTTATAATCCTTTCCTTAATCCTCAACCAAGGCTTCTAATCACTTCTATTATATTTTATGGTGCTTTATGTCCTTCAGTCTTGTTCAACCTTTTGCATTTTAATCATATCGATGAGCTAAATGCCAAACCACGTAACTCTTCAAGGAAAACTCTTTTATTGAATATTATTATAGGGATGGCTCAATTCGATACTCAGGATCGGTATCAGTTCTATATAGGTCAAGATTTCAGGATTGAAAAAACCCAACTATAACTATAATTGGATGATCTGAAAGCCAAAATACCCAAAGGTATCACATTTATATTAGTGCCGACAGATACTCCAAGTTGCAGAACCGATATCAGACATGAAAAAGTTGTATTGAGCCATTTCTAGGACCAGATACGAAATGAAGGAAAAAAGTTTTCCTAAAGAAGCATCACAAAGTATTCAATAGAGTAATTTATTTGTATTTGATCTAATACTAATCTTAAAAAAAAAAAAAAAAAAGGAAACCACTGCCTAATCCAATGGAGAATACATTTACTGCATCAATACTTATCCCTGAAACAACAGCGTAGGTGTGTGGGCTGACATACATCACTTCTGCTGTCCACTTCTCTGAACTTGTCCAAATGCGCTTTGATGGCAGCCAGGTTCTCCTCCTCCACGTAGCTGAACAGACTCTGGACAGCCAGGGAGGTCATCTTCAGGGAGGTGGTGGTATCCATGGCGGCGCACCTGTACACCACCGGAGAGCAAGAGAAAAACAGATGAGCAGCTTTCATTGCCAGACAGGAGTCACAAACAACTGCTACTGTGTGTGGCAAACGCAGCACAGGGCCGTGGTGTCAGGCAACTGCACGACACAATGAGGGCAAAAACAGAACAGCTCACTATCATAGGCAAGCAGAAGGGTGTGGCGTGTCTTGAAATGATGCTGTGGAGTAAACAAGTGTTGTCCAAACCTTCCATAAACAAGGCCTTACAACAAAAACATACCACAGGAACTTTAAACTTTAAACAAGTTTAAAATTAAACTGACAAAAAAAAACCTATCACCTGTTAGTGACAAACGTCTCTGACATTGTGCATTTACGGTGTCTCCGTGGCAACGTCAGAGACTCTTCCACCAGGGTAAAGACACATGGTCACAATCAGACAATACACTGTTATCACAGAAGAGCACAGAAGAGCACAGAAGAGCGGCACGTGACTCAGGCTGCCTCCTCTTATCACATTAACTGAAATCTGATCAGAATAATGGATATAAAGCAATCACAGACCCCACAGGATCCCACTGGTGGATTCTCCACCATGCTCCATTTCAACCGGACAGACCGGCGTCTTATATAATCTCCTCTTTTAAAGGCTGTGATTTGTCCAAGGATATAAGAATCACATTACGAAAATAGAATCATTTGATTGTAATGTAATTCCACAGTTTTTAACTACTAAATAAATTTGTAAATGTTTGGTCCTAAGTGTGCATGAATTAAAAAAAGAATTATTAAAATAAGTTAATATTTTAAAATAAACACTTTTCTTTGATAAAGAACAGAATTTTAAGTTTTTGGCTAGAATGATAAAATCCATTGTGTATTTACCACAAAGTAAAAAAAAAAAGTTCTGTAGTAAATAAGAAAATAAAACACTCTGTTAGTTTACCTCCGAAAACACAAGAAAATCAAGGTATTGAACCTGAACACTAATCAGTGGCTCATTAAGGGTTTTTAATTAACACATTCCTGGACAAACCTAATATTTAACGGAAAGTTGTTCCATAACATGGAATTTTGTGTTTTTTGGATCAAAATCTAACAAAATGCTGTGTCTGAAAAGTTGTGTTTTCATCCACAAAGCAAATACAACTTCTGATTGCGGCACACCAGAGATCATCAGGTGTACCTGGGAAATTATTTTAATTGGTCTGAAAACTGTTATTAATTATTTATGTAAGTGCAAATAATTGTTCCTGTCTGTCTATACAACAGTTAAATACTCTTCCACCGGGTGGCAGCAGAAGGCTTAAAAACCCAAAAAAGAAATACTCTTCCACCAGGTGGCAGCAGAAGGCTTAAAAAGCCAAAAAAAAAGCTGTTGAAGATATTTGTGTAAATTCCTGCGAGTATCAGTGTTCTGTTCAACTAAACAGGCTGAGATTCCGCACCGACTGTGTAAATTTTGAGCAAATTAAAACAAGAATATAATTGTTATTTACTTTTGTGACATTTTTTACCATTTTCTAGTGTAAAACATGCTATTGCTTGATAAAGGTTGGGGAATTCTGTATGCATTTACAATCATAGATAAGTAAGACACCATAATAACAGGTCCATCATGTTGGATTCAGCACCATCTGGTAAACATCTAGTATCCAGGAGGAAGTATAATAATGTTCACCTCCCCATTACAGTTGAAGTATTTAGGGTAACATTTAGTCATCATTATAACACAAAATGTGTTGTAATGGAATTAATATTCAAACTGTAAGTCTAAGTTTAGGCTTTGTGGTGTTTTTTATACAAATTTTCATTCTTTGCTTTTAAATGAAGGAGACATAATATGGCTGCCCGTCCACTACAGACAATGTCAATCGATAAAAAGCACATTAATGATTCATCAAGTTGGGCTCCCCTCATCACGGTCAGCCTTCTTGTCCACCACAAAGGCGGAAAATTAATCAGCAGCATTCAATGCTTGCAATCAGGTTCAGAAGGTGTTGCCCGTGAAGGGTGCTACTCAGTATTTCACGATAATCACCGAGACCAGCAACTCAAACGCGGTTCAATCAACGCTTAAATGTCAAACGCCTGTTGGGTTCATAAGTACAAAGGCTAGAAAGGGAGATTCAAAGCTGCCACTCAGTGTCTACATCTATATTTTGCTTGGTTTTATTTCCTGTCAGACATCACTAAGGTTGTGCTTTTTATGCTAGCTTATCAGGTATAAATAAATAAACCCTTTGTTTCAAATACAGCCTGTTGACACACCCTTTACAGCTCCTTAATCCTCAGCACAATGGGGGAAGATTACACCCCGGAAGAACCAATCAGTAAACATTTGGCGCCGTGTTTCTCTCTCCCTCTGTTGAACACAGATCAGATGGGAGTTCACACATCTCAACACACACCCATGCAAAAGCCAGCTCAGAAAACACACCTAGAGAATGGGCAGCAAACAAAGACAATTCAGTGCCAGAGGAAAACGAAACAAAGCTGGAATTGATGAATTCTTACCTCGGTGCAGAGTGAAACCAGAATCAGACTAATGGACACCAATCCTGATCCTCTACTCACTAACACTGTATCAACAAGCAGAGGCAGGTTTTACGCTCAGCATCCCCCTCTCACTCAAGGCTGAATATTTGATGAGGGGGTTGGTCTACGCCCATCTCTTCTCCACACAATAGACACGCGCTGCCACATTTCCAGTCACTACATGCCCTGGCGCTGCACCGAGACCAAAGATGAAAGCCGATAATGGAGCTTAGACTAATTTATGCAATTGTGTTTCATTAATGCACACGGTGAAGCAACAACAATTAGCATTAATACTGACTTATGGACAACAGAAAATGATTACATTACACCAATAAGTGTTTCTCATAAAATTGAGCAAAAATACACAGGCCTTCCCACGCATTCAGTTATGGATTTGGCAGAAAAAGGAGTGTGTGATATAAAATATTGGCATATATTTATCAGTAAATTACAATGATTTCACGACACTGTAAGGCTACAATCTAAATACACATTTTTGTTAGTGATGTTTCTGATCACTACTTAATAGTAATTCTCCATTTATATAAAAGCACATAAATGTCAATAGAACATTTTTGCTAAATACTTTCCACAATTGAATGCATCCTCGAAACATGATTTTTTTTTCGTAGAATGATCTAGTGCAAAAATCCTGGTTTGGTTAATAAAATATATAAATATATTCTAATTTGATAAATCACCTGTAGTTCTGTTTTGACCTGTAAATCAGGGGTGTCAAACTCATTTTTACTGGGGGCCACATCAGCAATACAGTTCCCCTTGAAGGGCCGGTTGTAAATAAAGGACTACAGATCAGGGGTCCCCAACCCCTGGTCCACGGACCAGTACTAGTACATAGCTTATTTGGTACCGTTACGCAGCGGGATACAGTGAAAAAAATGTACTTAAATTTTATTAATTTACTTCATTCAAAGAAAATCTAGTTATATCAAATTACCTTCTGTATTTAAAGATAATCTGGCAATATTTATTAAAATATTCGGTAATTCAGACACAGAATACAGTCCTACCAGTCTGTAGTAACAGGTGGTAGTAACGGGTGGTACTAGCTGACCAGTCATTGGAACAAAAAAGGGTTAGGGACCGCTGGTATATATGTAACTAGTCCAGACAGACTAACACAAGCTAGAAATATTGTTTATTTCTGTGTAATAAAACAACTTTGAATTACTGAGGTTAAGAAACTCGGATGCATGGACTTTACTAAATGCTTTTTAAATGCCGTATTTGACATATGCTGTATGCTGTAAATGGTCTGTATACACTATGCATGGACTTTACTAAATACTTTTTAAATGCCGTATTTGGGCCCCGGGCCTTGAGTGTGACATATATGCTGTAAATGGTCTGTATACACTACATTGGTGAAATCAATCTATGCTTCATGTAAGAAACACATATCACCAGGACAGGCTCAAAAAAACCCACCTACACACTGACCCTGCAGTGGTGTCACCTGATAAACACACTGATGTAGAAGCAACACTGGATACGATCTCTATATTTAACCAGTCAGCTTCATGTCATGTGGGTATGAGGGTTCACTTCCTTGAAATGTGCCAGGACATTAAAAAGCATACACCATTCTACAAGGTCACCAAACA